ACCCACAGTGATGGCAACAGAGTAAAAATGGAGGCACAAGTTCCTGAGTTCTTGGATAAACTTGGCAGAACTTGGAAATGGTGGGCTATGGTGAGAAGGGTGAGGAAGGAGTTGGGGAAGGCTTAGTTCACAGGAGGAGTGGCAGGGGGATGATCACATAGGGCACAAACGTGGACATGTTGTATTCAAGATACCTACGAGGCATCAAGATGGAAATGTCCAACTAGCAGGTATGTATGTGAGTCTGCACTATGGGACACTCACCAGAATTATGAGACATAAGTATAAAGTAGTGGTTAGATGGTGTAGTCAGTAAGGTGTGCTCAGTAAGGTGCGGTCAGTAAGGTGCCGGACTCCACATGGCAGATCGCAGTCCTAGACCCGGCAGCTTGAAAATCATGTTGCATGGCTCATGTGCATGTGTACCCAAAATCCCAGGAGAAGGGATTATGACATGGCCATCGTCCTCTAGGGGGTGATTTCTCACTTTCCCTCTCTTTCTCTCCAGCGAGCACCTGCACCCTATGGCAAAAACCTACAAATAAAACAAAACAAACAAAAACAGAGAACAGGAGAAGATGAGCCACAGAGGCTGGGAATTAGCGGGAACATGAACTAAGGATGGAACCCCCGGAAAACGAAGAGTTGAAGGGCAGAGAGAAGAGGACATAGAAAATGGAAAACATGACAGAAACAGGAGGAAAGTCAGGGGACTGTGATGTCAGAAAGCTGAAGGCATACTGTCCCAAGAATAAAGGAAGGTCAAATGCAAATAAAGTTTCAGAAAACAAAGACTGAAAAGGTGTCCAATGAACTTAGGCTACTGACCTCAGGGAGGGGAGGTGACAGCCAGGATGCAAGTTAGGGATAAATGGGAGGGCAGGAGGAGGACACAGAGATACAGCTGACTATTTGGGGACCCCTGGGACAAGACAGGAAGGAGTCAAGTCCAGGCTACAGAAGGACACATTGGCCACCCAAAGCTTTGTTCCTTTGTTCTTACCATGGGAGAGATTTGAGCATGTTTGTAGCCTGAGCAAGTACGAGAAAGGGAAGGGTCAGAGACTCAGATAGCAAGTCCAGGATGGGCCGGGCAGGAGAGCTGCGGGATATGGACCAAGTTCTCAGGCTGGACACCAGCAGAAAGAGGGTCACATCAACCTCCAAGACTTGAGAGCTAGATAGGTGTGGAGCATGACCTGGAAGAGAAGGCATTTGAGGGGACTCCCACTTGCTGGCCTAGGGTTCTTGGTTTAGCTTTGAGTGTGTGGGAAATAAGAGGGGGAAGTCTACGTTGAAGGCATGGGGGCTGGAGGTTTGGAAAGGTTTAGAATAGCGATGACAACAGAGGGAGCTGATGGACAAGTAAATGTGTCGAGGTGAGTCATCCTCCATGCATTTCTTTCCCTCACTCCGCCTCTCCATCTATCAGCAAGACGTCTGTTCCACTTCTGCTTCCTGGGTCGGGACATCTCGCTCACCCACTCCTACCACCCTGGTCCAAGTCACCATCATCTCTTTCCTCAAATTTTTTTTTTTTTAAAGAATCATTTTATTTAACATTATTTATCTGTCTTAATTTGACCAGAGAGGGACAGAGAGAGAGAGAGAGAGAGAGAGAACGCAAGCTGCCAGGTCTGGAACTCCAACCGTGGTCAGTCATGTGGGAGTCCAGTGTCCCCAACCACCACACCACCTGCCGGCCCCATCTCTCTCCTTAATTTTTATCATAGTTTCATTACTAATT